GGACACAAATGTTCATTTCTATACACACAGCTTGTATAATCTCTATAGAAAAGCACTGACAGTAGAGCAGGGTGCTCTGGAACAGCTACACATGAGCCTAAGGTCATCATGCCCAATGCCAAATGTCGACTGGAGGGGTTTGGTCTGTGCAGCAGTGGGACTGTGTTCTCTGTGGAGTGATGGAGTACCATCCAGTATCTGTGTAATGACTTGGAGTGGGGTCTGTGATCCAGAACTAATCACCCAACATCAGTACCTGACCTCACTAGTGCTCTTGAGGCTCAATGCAATCAGATCCTCACAGCAATGTTCCAGCGTCTAGTGTAAAGCCTTCTCAGAAGAGTAGAAGCAGTTAATGCAGCAAAAGGAGAAACAAACTCCCTGTTAACACCTCTGATTTCAGATGAAACATTGGTTGAGCAGGTGTCTACAAACTTTTAATGATAGTAATCATAGTAAACATTTTATTATAGAGCACTTTTAACAAAGCAGCTCAAAGTGCTTTACAATCAAACTGTAAAACTCAGTAATAAAAACCAAAATACAATAAAAATAGAAAAAGAACAGAATGAAGAAAAAGAAAATTAAATTGATGAGAAATAAAATAAGATTAAATGACAAGGGCAATAAAATAGATTACAACAGTATTTTAAATTAGACTAGATTAGATAACATGTTTTCAAATGCTTCTTAAAAATATGACTTGACTGCCTAATTGTAAGGGGTATTTCTGTTTCTGGAGTTTACACAGGGAAAATTTGGAATGGGCCAGAATCTGCTGATCTAAAATCACCTGTTGGAACATAGAGAGGCAGACATTCAGTGAGGTGCTAAGCCATTTAGAGCTTTAAAATCAATAAATTAACTGCCAAAGCAGTTCTTTCAAAACAAGCTCTCTTTTCTGCCTTTGTTAGGATCTGTGCTGCTGCATTTTGTACTAGTAGTAGAAGATGGATCGTTTTTTTTTTTAAACCAGTAAAAAGAGCATTACAGTAATCAATTCTGCTTGTGACAAATGCATGGACAAGTTTCTCTGCATCGCAGGGGGATAGAAGAAGGTCTGACTTCAGCAGTAGTTTTTGAACTTCCTGTTAGTTGGCTTATACCTTATTTGCTTACCCTCTTCAACTACTTATTAGTAATTCATAAATCTTAAAATGCATTTTTCACTAACTACTACAGGTTATACAGTAACTGCTGTGTGGGTAATATATAATTATGTAGTTAAGAGTGTGACAATGAAGTGTGGGCCCACATACAGGCCCTTCCATGACTAGATCTTTGATTAAACTCTTGAGTCAGTGTTAAATTCTGATACATGTAACCTCCCACCCCTTTTCTTTAAAATGAGGCTGCAGGATCCCCAGCTGAATCCCCTTTTGCCACAGCAGCCTCAGGAGAAGCGGCCTGCGTTGCGCTTCTCTTTTTACTGTAAGCAAGACAGTAGTGTTCTCATAGCACAAATAGCACCAAACCACTTGTGGCCACACAGATTCTGGCATATGCTCCTATGCTGGAAGGCCTCAATGCATTCCTGTAACAGTGCATTCATAGAAATTCCCTAATGAAGCTCTCATTTGTCAGCAGGGTTTTCAGAGGTGATACTGAAAAGACATCATGGATTTTTGGATCAAACTTTTATGTCTTCTGATATTGTTGATACAATCAGAGATTTTGGGTTTGTTTTAAATGGATGCATTGTGGAGTTATCTTTTGGGATTTTGCTTAAGACTAACTTTCATTTCTGAGAACAGTCTTAAAGCTGAAGAGGGGTGAGGGAACCCAGGAGAGACAGACGTCCCACTCACTGTCTCTCAGAAGTCAGTAATGCTGTTTCTCATACACAAGAACTTCAGCCTTTTTTTGCATTCCATACAGATCCCAAAACTGAAAATGTAATTACTTCCTGCAATAACAATTCAGCCAACTTTCCACAATCCCCACTGTCGTACTGTACCGCTTTCATGGGCCAAAACAGCCAATTATGGATACTGTGTGTAAAGTTTATAGGATATTCCCTTAATCCAGATCTTGTTGAGTCTTAAACCATCCTACAAGCTACAACAAACATAATGAACGCTTTTTCATGGTGGCTGTTAATTTTCCCTTGAAATGCTGTAGTGGTTCTCCCTGTGCAACCCTTGAGCTTTAAAACCGAGAACAAACAACCAAAGCAGAACTGCTCAGTTATGTTACAGACCTTATGGCTCTTCCAAGGCTCGCGTCTTGGCCGTTGAATAAGACGCTGGCTATGGCTCTATGGAGAGAGCTGGCGCTTCCAAACGCATTGAATCAGCATTGCTCTGCAGGCTGCTCTGAGCATGGTTGCTGTGTTCACAGTGATCTAAATTGACTCTAGGCATCAGGCGCTCGCTTGACTGCAGCAAACCCAATGTGACATTTATGCCCAGCGCCAAACAACACAAAGCTTTTAATAAGTAAACATGGACCCATTGGTACACATGGGAGATAAGGCCACTCAAAAACAAGAAGCTCCAACACTTAAAGGGGAACCATCATGTTTGGATGTTTTTTAGTCTGCCACAGGAAGTCTGTAATGTTTATGACCAGTTTGCGTGGGTTAAGAGATCTCAGTATCAGTGACAGAACTGGAAGTGGCTAATCGATTTATGCACTGCAGTTACTCCAGAAAAGAACAGAAAACATATTAAAACATTTTTCTATTTACCCTAAGTCTATCTTGCTGATTTTCATAAGCTTGGGAATTCACAGCCAACAGTCAACATCATTACATAAAATTAAACTTGTTTTAATGTTCTGAGATGAACACGAGGTAGGACAGTACATATCGGCTTGATTTTAGCTACAAAGGACACGAGTAAACACTTCTTTGAGTATCTTCATGCTTAATAAACTTCTTTTCCAGAGAATCTAAAAGTGTTTTTACTAACATGTCGATTCGCATAGGATAATATAACCTAGGGTTAATTCTGTGTTTTGTTTTTTTTTTAATAGAATGCAAAAGATGCCAGAACCTTTACTGGTGTTGGAGTGCAAACGCAGTCCGTGAAAATGACATGGTGTATTTAGACGAGACGATCACTGAGAAATGCCAGTAAAATGACATTACTAAACCTCCTCTTATGTAAGAAGTTTTGTCTAAATGGTACGTAATCGCAAATATGTTTATTAATTCCACAGACAACGTAGCTAATTGCTGAAAATTTCACATTCACTGCAGGTTTAGCATTTTTTACTTGCGTAAAAGGTTTAAGGTCGTGTTATACCTCATACCTCATGAACTCCTGTTCATCTAGAGTTCTGAATACACTAAGTGTAACAATAACTTGATTCAAGTGCAATGTACAAGTGTGAAAAGTGGTATTTCCCAGTTTCTGACACCACTCAATGCAACATATTTATCAAGTCCCAGTTTGTCAGTGTGGACTGTTTCCTTCTATCTTCTAACTACTCAAGAACCTCATAGAGAAAAAAAATTAAATGTGTGTTGTTCTGTTTTGTGTGTGGATCAGTCTTCTTTGTTGGTGATGTTTAGAATGATTGACATAAATTTAAAATGGCTGTAGTAGATTGTTCATGGCCTAACATCATCTATTATAGTGTGTAGAAGTCTTTGAGTGACAGACATGAGTAGCTAAGCTTGTGCTGAATGGAGGGCTGTATAATATTTGATATTACTTCAAAAATTGACAGCATGATGCGTAAAACACAAGCAGAAATACTGCAGACTTGAAAGTGTTAACAAACACAATATGTGATGCTTTGTTTTTGGTAGTTGAGCCAAACTTATTCTTTCACTGCAGCCAAAGGATTTGATATAATACCATCTAAAGCTGCTCTCCTTAGTCGCAATAGCCTCAGGTCAGAGAACAGGCTTTATGACGCATGACTCTGTCTGCTTATATTAACCAAACTCTCAGTGAACATCATTTACATTTTGTCACAAGGATGTATTTGATTTATGATTTTTGCACTAATGTTTGGTTTCATTCAGTCATGCATATAAACCTGCAAAACTGCAATCAGTTGCATTGTTTTAAGGATGAATTTGGGAATAATTTGTTAGTTGTCTCCTTATTCAAAGAAAAATGAATAAAGAAGAATCAAGCAGCTGACAACCGACCTAATTCTTTGATACAGGCTTCACTGCAAAGTTGTCTGTTTACACTTTTCTCTTTGTCCTAAAATGGCAGGAGGCAGGCATGTCAGGGCTCCCTGAGGGTCTGTTGGTTATGTCATTGCTGAAGAGGCTTGCTTAAAATGTTAATTTTCTTCTGATGGAAATTGGTATAATATTCAGGGAGTGGGGAGTTGGTGTGTGTCCCTATTATGCCTGTTTCTATATATGTGGCAGGGCTGTCCTTCGTTTCTTTTTAAGGCATTCGTTGTTAGGGCTTTGGCCTGTATGTTATAATCTTTTGCCTTTTTGCTCAGGTCCAGTTTTCTCATTTCTGCTCACATTCATGATTGTAAGTTACCTGTATCTGTCAATATTGTGAACTCATCCCTGCCCTGAAAGGACCTACAAGCACACATTTTGACATGCTGCTGACAGTAGATGATGACAGCCGTGATGTGCACACGCACAGTGAAGTATGATGTAAAAAAAAAAAAACAGACATATGAATTTTGTCTAGACAGCATCATTATGATCACATGGTCACATATTGGATATTTGTGATCTAGAACCACTTGTGAAAGTGACTCAAATCCGATTTGAAAACACCAGGTTTGTTCACGTGAGTCTGAAAAAAAGGATCTGTGTCACATTTCACATTTGACCAAAAAATGAATTTGTGCCAACTCTGTAATGTGAACATTACAGCCTTTGTCTTTGTTCTTAACACAACTGGCAGTGGCAGAAACAGGCGTTTCCAGCTGTTAAGCTCCACGGCCTTATTTAGTGCTCCGTTACGTTGGCTGGCCAGAGCCTCCCTTGTGGGGGCCCTTGACGCTCGCACTCAGACATCCAGTCACACAGACTCTCGCAGACACACACACACATGCACACACACACACCCACTGCAGCCGAGAGCTGGTTCTGCAGCACAGCTCAACAGAGTGAGTGAGTGAGTGACTGAGTGAGTGGAGTTGAGTTAGCAGGAAAACCTGGATTACTATCTGATCAGCTCAGAGCGAGTGAGGTAAGGGGGAAGCACTTCAGGTTTGCAAAGAGTGAGCAGGGTAGGAGGAGGTGAAGGAGTGGGAGTGACTGTGCATGCTGTGTTGCATTAGCACGTGCTAAGAGGTAAGGCTTCTCCCAACACCCTGGCTGCAGTTGAGCCACCCGGACGTCCCGAGGGTGAAGACAGCTGGCAGGGCAAGGCGATGCAGGCAGACCTGAGATGACACGCGGTACTCCTTTCTTCTTCAGAACTTCTTTTCTTCCGTCCTGCTGCTCACTGCTGTCTCTCCGTCTTCCCTAAGGCTGCTCCTCCCGTCCTTCGGCAAACAGGGCTGAATTAATCAGGGGTGTCTGCACTAAGAGGATCAATAGCTTGCACTGTGCTGTACACGATTGGAGCCGGCAGGCACTCTTTACTCCTGAAGTGTGTTCACTGTGCGCTTCTGGGCTCTGAGGTGTCCCACCGGTAGGTCCTGTCCAATTATTTTTCTCCATGGCATTCAGGAGGATGGCAGGACAGCAGAAAAGGGGCGACTTTGTGCCACTCCGGGCTTGCTGGAGACAGAGGCATGCGACTCTCTCTCTGAAATGAACCCTTCCCCCTGGATGACTTGGGGAGAGAGAAAGAAAGAGAGAGGGAGGGAGAGACAGCGCCTTCTCCCCCTGTGGAAGACAATAATATGACTTCACGATGAGGATGTGCCAGAATGAATTTGACATCTTAGCCGGGAGAATTCCGCGAAAAAGGCAGGAAAGTGACAGCTCCTACGCCACTCTTTGCTTTCTGTTTCTCCTCTACTACTACAGAACAGCTCTCCCAAGGGTGCCCTGACTGTTTTTTCCTTTTTCCAGCTTCCCTTTTTTCCTTTAATGTTGGATGAGCCTTACATTCTTTAGCATTGACATGCTCATTTTGTTGCCTTAAAACTGTACTATGGGCTTTTTTCAGAACTTTGACATGGAGTAGTGTATCACAGAGGACAATGTACTCTGTATGTTTGCTTACAGTCTCTATGTCTTTGAGAAGCCTTGAAAGGACTTACGAGGAAGTATGTAAGGTGTGGAAGTAATGGCATTCTCCAGACCCTGTGTAAGGGCTATTTATTTACGAAAGAAAAGCCACGCAAACCACACCTTTGCTTAAATGAAGACTGGCCGCACTTACACAGGAAGGGACCAAAAAATGATGCAAGTCAATAATTTCCCATTCAGGAGGCATTCCTGGATATGGTGAGTGCTATTCTGTATTACTCAATCACTATGAAAAAAGTGTGTTTGTGTTTTGGATCATAACATCATGATATCCCCTGTGTCAGGTCAATCTTATTTATAGACCCGGCTTATACACAGATGAGCTCTGAGATTTGTATTAATCCTGAAACAGACGTCCGCTTCATGAAAGCATGGTCAGAGCAAAGGCTCGCTGGCTACATTTAGTTGGAAGAGGGTAGATGAGGTTGAGACCTATATGTCGCTTTCTATCCCAGCTGGCAGGCCTCCACCACAGGCCCATGGCTTTGTCAGCTCAATGCGCTTCAGAGCTTCTGGAGCTTGAAGGTCTACCGACTGTCGTTTTTCATTAAATTGGGGTGAAATATACAGAACGGTGACAGAATGAGACAGTGTATGCATTTCTTATCATTATAAAAGCTGTATTGTTAAAATATACTGAAGATGCTCAAAAAAGCACTAAAACACAGGCATTAGTAGACCCTTAAACTTCACGTTACAATTTAAATAAATATGAAATTATCACCAGTGCTAGTGCTAACTGTTTAGGTTAATTATGTAAACAGACAGTGGACATACTTTTCAGGGAAATTTGAAACAGCATGAATATCATTGGGTTTATATTGCAGCATCATTAAAATCAGTAGCTGTCCTATCCCCACCCCTACAAATGATGATTAGTTGATGGTGATAATGAAATTGACTACAAGGTACTGAATGCACCGTGATGATGCCTAACAACATTCCTATTCAGGTATCGTCTAATTCACACTCAAGTAAATCGTCACTGTTGTCTGGCTTTTGCTCATAGTGTGGTCCACATTGTGCTTATGTTGTAGGGGTCTGTGGTCAGTGTCTGATCATCACACAATGGAAATCTGAATTCACTGGGGCTTAGGTATTCCCAGCTTCACAGACAGGCCCTGCCTCATGCAAATCCTCACATTCTTGCTCCTGCCACACTTCTTCCTTCATGTTGTGAATTGCACTGTTTGTGGTGACTGATGGTCTGGCTGGTTGAGGGTGTGGCACTGTTTGTTCTGAGGTTTTGCAAGACCACTTGCTCAGAAATGCTTTTAACACCTGAGTATAAGCACAAGGGGCTTGTGCTGTCACTTTACTGTTGAAGCCACGTTAAAGGAAACGGAGCAACTATGACTCAAGCATGACAGGAGTAGTTGTTGGTTTTCTTGTCTTTCTTTCTCTTCCTCTTTGACGTAACTTAAACAGGACTGACAGGCTGGAAGCAGGACGAATGCGACAAACCCAGCAGGGCCATGCAATTACAAGATGAACGTAACATGCAGAATGCAGTTCAGCCAGGCAACATTTCACACACGTTGGCTAATCTGTTAGTTGGACTGTGTTTGGCTTCTTTGAAGCTGTCTAGACAAATATAGGTGTCATAAAGTGAGGGAGGCACACCAGAGCTACCCACCTGACACATGACCTTAAACAAAGCTCCACTCGGTGTGGTAGTCATACATTTCCGCCCATACCTAAAGCTCTTTTCAAGTGTTTGTGGAGAAAACAGACAAGTCGTCTTTTAAAGGCACATTTTTCTTTCAGATGAATGAGTCACAAATTTTTTCCTGTCATATGAGCTCAAGGCACAGCTGTTTGTAGTGGACGTATATAATATGGAAAGAATGCACAATTAGTAGGAGGTTAACAGAAGGTTAACCATGCTTTGTCAATGATTTCATAGTACACTGTTGGCAATCCTTACTGTATATGGGGCTCAGGCATTGGGAGAGTGGGTATGTGACTTTGACTGAAGCTGCTATTAGCGTAGCCACTATTTGCACAGTGCAGGGTGGAGTTTTACCTCCCTTCAAATGGGCACATCCACATCCTGCTGCACTGATGTTGTGTGCCATAGCCTGCGGACACGGCTCTCATCTTTACCCTGTTCCTCCAGGCTAAGAGGACGGGATCAAATAACTCCATTGCGTCAATATGGGTCTGAAGTTTCATGTGAAAACGGTGCATTATTGCCCGTTCAACAGGTTGGAAAACAGTATTTTTCTAGTTATGATTTGCCTGAAACAGAATCAGCTTTGTTCAAATATAATTTGCTTGAGTTACCTATAAATTACATTTAACTAGATTTTGTGTCCTAGATAGTCAAGATTTGCTATCTGTTAACTTCTAAACCGAATAAGTTGCCCTTCATTAAAAGGTTAAAATCAGCCGAATGATACGCACCATAAATTGGATTTCTCAGGAGCAGCCCAGGAACAGTCTGATTCCCTCAAATTCTTATCAGTATATGAAAACCAAAATGACAGTGAAAACAAGCCACTTCACTGTTTGCAAAACAGACATTTCACTTCAGACCAGTTTTATCAAATGGCGCTGTTCAGAGCCGAGACGAGCACATGATACATGGCATTTTCTGAGACAACAACGCTTCTTTTTTCAATTGCTATGTTCTTCCTAGCTTGCAGGTGATCAAACAATATCAAACACGTTCCATATCTGCATAGAACCGATCAACCCATCTACATATTTTACTAAAAATATGCATTTATTTTGAACATCAAAAGGTGTCTGAGGTCAAGATATTAGTCAAACAGTGGACAGCAAAGAATTTTAAAGGGATTCTATCACTGAACAATTGAGAACACATGGCAGTCCCGCGCACAGCACGATCCAAATATCCTCGGCCTTTCATCTTACGATGACAGTACACAAATAGATCAGTATAATCCTCATGCAGTCTCTTACAGTATTTGACAATGCGTCTCTCATTTCAGAATCAAAATACACGTCTCTTGTAGTCTAAAACCTCACCGAGGTCCTGTTCCTTTGTGTTTGAAGTGTAATTATGTAAATATTTCTATCTGTACATCAGAGGAAAGTTGCATCCAAGCAGGAAACTGACTGCGGATAGTGAAAAGTAGGCCCAGTAAAAGTGAGGTGAATCTGACCATTCCATACCATATCCACAGAAACAGTGGACTAGTACTCTCATTTTTGATCCCCTCTTTCACCCTCTAATACATTCTTTACCTGCTCTAATACGTTGACCAATATGACCAAGCTTGTTCCTTTAACTTGTGTTGTTAAAATATATATAGTAAACTAAAGATCACCTGATGGACTAAAAAATTTACTTTTTTGATGAATCGACTGTTAGCAGTTAGTATAATCGTAATGCGAATTTTTTATTCTCCTGCTGCTTTAGCAATAAGAAACAGAGCCTGATGGTCTCACCCTTTTATGTGTACTTTTACCTTTTTTGCTACATTCTGTTTTTTATTTACAATAAAAACACAATGTAGTGTAAAAATCTTCCTCATTTGTAGAAATCTAAAAGAACATAGTTTCCAGATTTCTCCTCGATGCCCGCCTGCCGTCACATGAATTTGTTCAATTCCATCGCTAGCACATCTGATTTAACGTAATGAAGCTTTGATCGAGCCAAACCAGTTGCTGAATGATAACTACAAATAATCCTGAGCTTCCTTGAAGACATGTTTGGAAATTGTTAAACATTGACATCACTACTCTTTGTATTCATGTTGTTTGTGCTTATTGTAATATTAGTGTCTTTTGGTAAAAATGCTTATTGCCTTGATGATTTTACTTTTTATAGGATTCATTGTTTTCCAAATACTTTAAATACTAGATTAGTTGTCATAATAATGGTAGATTATGTTATTGATAGTAACTGCCTTTGGTTTTCTCCAATTCCTTCTGTGCACAGTATTGAATAGCTGCTAATTGACCCAATCAATGACTGCAACAAAGAGGAAAATTCTAGGAAAATAAGAATTGGTTAGCACATAGTGTACAGTGGACTCTGCATTACTAACACACTGGCATAAAGGAGCGGGGGGTTAATGGTCAATACATCCTTACATTCAAGCTGTTGTCTGATTGGGAAGCAGTGTAGGAGGTACTTCCATGTATGATATATTTATCGTCAGTGTTCGTTACAAACAAAATGAAGCCCTGTGCTGTGACTCCTGAGGCATTAGGCTGCTATCCAAAACACAGCATGTAAAAACTAGTGTTGAGAGTAAGCCTGAAGGGAACCAAAACAGGTGTGTGTGTGTGTGTGTGTGTGTGTGTGTGTGTATATGTATAGTTTCAAAACAGGGCTACATTAGCATACCAGTCTGATGAGAGAAGACACTAAGCTTTTGAGGACTATATGGTTCTTCAGTGAAAACTCAATATCTTGTTACATATTCTATATCTTATTATATTGATCATTCTACCGACTTGGTTCAGAGTTGAAAACACATTTTGGATTTTTTAACTGACTGCTTTGACCTTATTTATATCTTAATTATGTTTACTTCATTAAAACCAATAGTTGAACATTCTATTTTGTCACTACCAAAATGATGAAATTTTACTAAATGTTTTGATAGTGACTGTTTTAGTAGTGATAGCTCTAGTAGTGATAGTGATAGCTACTAGCATAGCTCAAAACCTCTAGCCAGTACATGACCAGAAAAAACACAGCTTTGAACAGTTGTACACACATAAAATCATAATGTTTTTCATTAAACACAAAGAAGTTTAATTGCAGAAAATATGTCATTCGGTATTTTTTACTGTGGCGCCACGGTTTTTAACTAATTCAGTAGAATGGTCCATATATAGAAGTTAAAGTAAAGTAAAATTAAATGCTATGAAGTGAAATGCTATAAAAATGCCAGGCATCTTTTCCTTTAATTTGTTCAATTTCCTTTAATTTTGTTCAATACTTTTGGAGATACAAGGTTTTTTTTCCAACATTATCAGATGATAGTTTAGTTATAATAAATCAGTTGATATTTTTACATTGTTTTTATTGATACATTTACCCCTTCTCTTTCTCTCTGTGTGGTTGTCTCTTTTGCTTTTCCTCACTGATTATTGGAAAAGCATAGCTTAAAAGACATAAACATATCAGGCTGTTAAGTCTATTGTCAAACCACAGCTGTTCTGGGGTCATCTTAGAAGCTTGGTGTCCCCTTGCTAATTACAGCCATGGTTGCAGT